CCACAAAATTCATTTCCAATATCGCATAATTGTCCATAGCTCTCTTATGATACCTTCTATCCCGTTATGATCTTTATATAGGCAATCAGTTTGAAAAAAAAAAGGAAAAAACTGAAAAAAAAAACGAAAAAAAAAAAAACAAAAAAGATAGAAGAAAAAAATTTGAAAGGTTGTTTTTTCTTCCTCCCTTTCCAATCGAATTGATCGTTACAATGATATAATACTTGCGACACAGAATTTCTGATTAGATCTAGATTCGGCTTAGTGATCGAGAAAGCTAGCGAGTATACGATAAATCCAATCGCATTGGTCATTCCGAACTCCAAATCCAATATTCGTGAGGAAAAAAAAACAAGATAGATGGAGGACTGGTTGGCTCGAAGTAGCGGATAGAAAGAGATCGAGAGAGAAACAGAGAGAGAAACACACACACACACACATAGAGAGAGAGAGAAAGAGAAAGAGAGAGAGAGAGAGAGAGAGAGAGACAGAACGAAGCTAGATTCGGACGGCAATTGTGTCCGAGGTCGCGGACTACGTTTCGCGAATTGCATATTGATTTTACGCGTTGAAACTCGGCAATGTCTCCGATCGATGCAACGCGTCACGTCGAGAAACAAAATTTCACAAACTTTTTCTTCGATAACCAGAAAAATTTTTCAGAATTCGTTAACACGTTCGAAACGTTTGACGTTAACGAGGTATAAAGATTGTTCTTTTTAAAATAAAAAAAAAAAAAATAAGAATGACATTTTCTCCATTCATTAGAATTCTTCCATTCTATTGGATGAAACTTTGAGAAAAATTTCTTGAGAAGATAAGATAAAGATGCTGACTACGATCAACAGCCGATTGACATTTTTTTTTATTTATGACAGCGATTACGTTCAATTATAACTTCGACAGTCATTAACGTCACTATCTTAGATTTGATTGATAAAGGGAAAATCATTCATTGAAAGAGGTTTTTGATAATGCGAAAAAAAATGTTCCTGATTGAGATTTCTCATTGATTTCATTGAAAGGAATTGAAAGATTCGGTCTCTTGCGTCTCGAATTTCAAAGAACGATTAATGAAACGATATCGTATGGACTCTGAATGTGATCGATCGTTTGGGAAAAATCTCTCTATAAAAAAAAAAAAAAAAAAAAAAAAGAAAAGAAAAGAATTCAACTTACTTTCACTAAATTCTTTCGAAATGGAAAAGAAAGAAATATTTTACCACGAGGTGGACGGTAGAATGTTTGAAGACAAACGTAGACGAATTTTTATGTCAAGCTCCGATGGTTCAAGAAGTAAGACCTACAAAATCCTTTCCTTCGTCGGCACGTAGCCGTAGCTTTCCCGTGACATCGCACGACGAAACTTCGCGTATATCATGGGATTAAGTCGTATCTTTGCGAGCTCAAGATGAGATGAAGGAGGGAGGAAGGAATAGGAAGAAAGAGAAACGGGAAAATATATGGAAAAGGAAGAAATAAGAGGTCAGAGTAAAAGTTCAGCCCTCGTTATTCGACTCGTAGCTCGCCAAACAAGACGAACGAACGGGACAAGTAGTGTGCTCTATGGTCAAGCTGCTCGAACTCAACCCCTTATAGAACTTTTAAATCCATTTCTAGTGAAAATAGTATGCCCTATACCGACCTTTCTTTCTATATATTTTTAAACTCAACAAAATTTATAACAATTGATATATAAAATAATATTATAGAACAACGATCTTTTAATTAATAAATTCCGATATCTACAATATGAATGTACAGCATAAGCATATGTAAGTGTATATATATATATATATATATATATATATATATATATATATTTTTAGTATAATTGGAATTGTCTTTTCTTTCTTTATCGTTCAGATTTATGTAATATTTTTCATAAATCAAACGTATCGATATCGATAAAATGTAGACCGTTCGTTATTCATAATAAATATGTTTAATATAGGAAACTTGTATAGGATGATATAAATAAGAATAGACACTTTGAAAGGATGTCAGGAAGGAACTTATAGCCGAATATCATTATCGTACGTCGTTATATCGATGTCCCCCCACCCCTCCCTCTTTCTCCCCATCCTCTCGATCTCTTCACAGTGTCATTTATTTCGACAGCATTCTACGCTCATCTCGTGTTTAAAGATACTTGCGACCACGGGAATTTACGTCGTGGAAACGCGAAACGTGTCCCAACGAAAAATATTGTCTCAATTTTTCAATGCGTAGGAAGAAAAATATTCGCTCGGATGAGTCGTAAATCGTGCAGTGAGTTGCGTTTCGATGAAAACGAGAGAAAGAGAGAGAGAGAGAGAGAGAGAGAGAGAGAGAGAAAAGGAAAAATAATCATTTCGGACTGCTTCTTTGTGTCATGCTTGCTTTCATATTTTCCTAAAATTAGCATTCAATTTGCAATTAAGCGAGTCCCAAAAGTCATCCCTATATTACAATCAAATATTTACAATGTAAATTTTTATTCAAAAAGTAATTTCTCATGTTAATTCATGTTTACAATATTTCAAAATATCTCTGCTCTTTGCAAAGTGACACACAATCTCAGGACAAAGCATTAGTTCGATTGAAATCATTTGGAGAAACTTTTGAATGCATTGAAAAAAAAAAAAATAGATTAAAAAATACACTATGTTTACAAAATACTTGACATTTTCGTCTGCTCGACCTCGTTCCTTTCGATAGCTAGGCAATATTTGTATACGTTCCAATGTTCGATAAAATCGACTAAAATTTTTCAAAAATTCAAATAACGAAACCCGAAGAGAATATTTACATTTATTTTCTTTTATCTTTTTTCCTAAATTCTTTATATAGACATCTCTACCAACATGTTAAGAAAGGTTCATGAAATATAAATAAAAAAAGAAGAGAAAAGAGTTAAAAAGATCATCGTATGCTTTTCGAAACTTTCGAAAGATTTTCCATCAGTTATTTTTTTTTTCCTTTTTCCCTCTATTTTCCTCTATTTTCCAAGCGTGATCATCCAGCCAGGGCCGATTTTATGCCAATAAATCCGATGCTCCGACGAAAACGATCTTTCGAAGGTTACTTTCAGGTTGGATCGGCTTTCTCGGTCGTTGAACTTCGTACAGATATAGTTGGAGAAGGTGAAGGGACGAAGTTTTCCAGGGGATCGAGGTCGGGTCAAACCGTGCACCACGGGATTTCGCGAGTTTTGTTCGGCCGCTAAAGATTTAAGTGGAAGAAACGAATCTTCGGTTTGCCCGAAGGAAAACCTAAGAAGGGATGGCAAGGCTGTAGAGGCGAAGGAGAAAAAAAGAAGGAGAATACCACCCTCAAACACTTCGTTCCATCTTCTAGAGTCTTCTTCTTTTTTTCCTTCTCTTTCATTTCTCCTTCTTCCTTTTATATTTCCTTTCTTCTTTTCTTTTTGTTTTCTCTCTCTCTCTCTCTTTCTCGCAGACCGGATAATATCGATTCCCCATCTTCTACCACTACCAACAAGTCGATTATGCGAACCTCGCGTAAATTCTGAATTACTTATGAAATTATTCAACGAAAGTGTGGGCACACATGTGAGCCGAAGAAAAAAGAAAAAAGAAAAGAAAGAAAAAAAAAAGAAAAGAAAAAAAAGGAAAAAGGAAGAAAAACACGTCGAGAGTCTAACGTGGCCAATTTAAATCTTCCTTTTTACCGTACCATAAGTGTCGTTTTCCTAATGGGAAAATCGTGTAAACTTTGCGCGTAGCCAGTAGAAACGAAATTTTCAAACGACTTCTTCGATCGTCATGATTTCATTATCAAACTTCCGCAGGCTCATGGCCCCACGTCGTTTAAGTTTACCCTATCGAAAAACGGACGAGGGTAATCTTGAAAAGGTAGAAGGGAGGAGAAAGAGGAAGAGGAAGTACGTCGAATGCTGCTCTTCTTCTTCTTCTTCTTCTTCTTCTTCTTCTTCTTCTATTTCTTCTACCACTTCGATACTTTTCTCTCTTTTTTCTTCTTCCTTTTCCTTTTCTTCTTTTTCTTTCTTTTCCCTCTTTCTTTCGAAACTCTCGCCCAATGGCGCCGTTTCTTCACGATCTTTTACCACACCTTTAAACGTTCATTTCATTTGATGGTAGTCTCCTATTTACTCGTAAGTATACTTTCTTTAAAGAGCTATTCCAGTCAGTATGATTGAAAAGATTTTAAACAATGAAATTCTTCGAGTAAGTCTTGCGAATTTTATCTTCCTATTTTTAAAAATTATCATTGTTACCAAACGCTCAAAGAGAACTTTTACAAATGAAAGCTTAGAGTAACGTGATTTTAAAAAAGGCTTGAAAAATCGATATCTCCGAATTAAGAGAGAAAAAGAGAGAGAGAGAGAGAGAGAGAGAGAGAGAGAGAAAGAAAAAGAATCCGTAAAGATCTGAAATATTTCTGAAACATTTTCTTTTTGTTCATTTATCTTTTATATTTCCTTTTCTTTTCGTCTATTTTCAAGTAAAAAGATAATGTAACAATTATCATAAAAGCATTAAAGACTTTCTCTTTTTTTAATCCAAAATCAAAAGGATAAAAAGAAAAAAGAAAATTCTTCGTCGATCAGCTGTGTGTTAGAACGATTATAGGAAATTGCCGTCCGCGAAATTTTATTCGAAACGTGGCGTTAACTCGAGGCACGGAGGACGAGAAGAATTTTATTCCGATAAATTTCGCGGAGAACGAATCAACGGAATTTCCACGCTGCGCGTTAATGAACGCGGCAATTTGTGAAAAAAAAAAAGAAAAGAAAAAGAGAAAGAGAAAGAGAGAGAAAAAGAGAGAAAGAGAGAGAGAGAGGAAAGATAAACGACGAATCGTAGGCAAGTTGACACTGGCATACTCGACGAATCTCTTGCTATGCGTTATATACGGTATGTATATATACATATATACTGGCATATATATATATATATATATATATATATATATCGGCTTGCATGCGACATACTTGAAAATCTTAGGGTGAGAAGTGGATGTCTTCCGCGACGTGATTTTCCGCGGCTGCGTCTTCATTATTCGTGAGTATCAAAACCGGCATCTCGTTAGTTTCTACGTTTCTCTTTCTTTGAATTACCACCGTTAGCTAGTAAATATATACATTACATAATATCACGTGCATATATGTCAATACATATCATTGATATCATTTCATTATATAGATATTGTATGTGTGGATGTGAAAAGTATTCTTAATATAAAATATACTATATATTTGTAATAATATAATTATAATATTTTTTTTTTCTAAATCGTTAATCCTATTGGTTCTAAAGAGAACAAAAAAAAAAAAAAAAAGAAAATATTGAATCGAATTTGAAATGTTACTAAAAGGGAAAGGCAAAGAAAAGGAAAGAAAAGAAAAGAAAAAAAAACAACAAGGAAAAACGACAAATAAAAAGAGCCGACGAGAACGAAAAATCGAATCGATTGGACTGGGAGACATAAATCTTACGATACTTCACGAAGCGGTTAGCGGAGTCGTTAAAACTTAATGGCGCTTAAATCCGACGAATTGAGCGTGAAGCCATCGATAACCTCGCCTTCTACTATTCGTTCTAACATTTTTTTTGTCTTCTTCTATCTTTTTCAAAGCAAACTGTGGAAAGAGAGAACGAGAGAGAGAGAAAGAGAGAGAAATGAAATCGCGATAAGAAAGAAATGCTTATGATAAATTCCTCGTGATTGATGGGGTTGCTTGGCGATAAACAAAAAAACAAAGCATAGGAAGAAGAAGAAAAAAAAATAAAAAAAAATAGCTCATTTGTGGCACGATCTAGCAGCCTACTTTCGAAGAGCTTCTTCATTATTCGCGGACATCGAGATCAGGCATCTGTCTGTCTATCTCTCTCCTTCTCTCTCGTTCGTGCCAATGCTGTTTGCCCAACAATCACGTTAAACGGATTATCTTGATCACGTCGGATGAACGATCAAATATGTGCCGGCTTTTCCTCGACCGACGGCGGGACCTTCGCAAGCGGATAATTGATTGGATTCTATTTGCACTGATCCGCTGATACAGAAGAACAAAAAAAGAGAGAGAGAGAGAGAGAGAGAGAGAGAGAGAGAGAAAGAGAAAGAGAGTGGAAGAGGAACAAGGATACATTTACACCAACGAAAGCTTTTGACCTTTTTTATACGCTATCGTTCAGTCCAAACCTTGCCTACCTACAACGAACATCCTATCTTTCGTGCTTGAATCTAAATACGGTTACTTTATCGACAGCTATCGAAAGAATTTACAAGATTTTCTATAAAAATTTAAAGAAAAGGTACGTAATTGTTTAAAAATCATATTAACATTTCATTTAAACGTTTAAATATTAATAAATTTTTTTATAAAAATACGAACATTTCAATGTACTTATGAATGACAACGTATGTGGCATTCAAAATTGTTCCCATTGTAATAAAGTTTTGGAAATTTGAGCAACACTCGCATACGATCTACGTTTGATAAACTAATTCGCACACGTCGCTCGACGACGGATATGGCCGCTAAATCGGTTTGGAAAATCCATCGATGTGACACGCGGAATCGGTGATTCGTTCCCCGGAAATGAGGGCAGAAACGAACAATCAAATCGCTGTCGAATTAATGCGCTCTTCATGCGGACGATATTAACGAACGAACGAACGAATATTACGGGCTGATGTCAATATTAATATTCTCGCGTCACCTCTCGTTTGCGGCGATGCCCTTTTCATTTTAATCGTCGTTCTATCGATATCAACGAGAAAGAGAAAGTGAATATGATAAAGAAGGAACAATTTCGTAGGGATCCCTTCTAGTATAAACTTTAGAGAATAATCGATATTATAATAACAATCCAAAGAAAAGTATGAATAATTTTTTATTTCTTTCTTTCTTCTTTTTTTTTTGTTTTTTTTTCTTCCTTTTTTCATTCATACTTTCGTTAGATTTCTAACGAGTAAAACGATAAGGGTTTTTCATTGTGTTAAAAAGATTTCTTTTTTCTTTTTTTTTTTTTGCACCTGACCATTATAACTCCTGGATTTCCAATAATCTGACAAATAAATGTCATTAACATACCAATCATTTTTTATCGAGAATAAATTGCAATTATTTTTCAGGTGACGTTAATAGCCGCCTCTTTCGATCGGATCAATTGGAAAACAAAACAAACAGAAAAAAAATAGAGAGAAAGAAAGAGAGAGAGAGAGAGAGAGAGAGAGAAAAAATAAGAAATCTCATTCCACGAAAGTATATATAAAAATCACATCGTATCATTGAGATATATTTATCAATTATGCAGAAACACAAATATTTAATACCAATCCTGGTTGACAGTAGTACTGCTTGTTGGCGTGTAACTTGAGTAGTCTGCTGAACGCAGGTCAATCGAGTTCAACGAGACCCACGACGGTAATAAGAGTCCTTCGCTTAAGTAAAACGAGTGCTCACCGAGTCTCTCTCTCTCTCTCTCTCTATCTCTATCTCTTTCTCTATCTCCATCTCTATCTAACTATTTCTCTCTATTTCTCTCTATTTCTCTCTCTCTCTCTCTGTCTCTATCTCTGTCTCTATCTCTCTCTTGTTAAAACGAACATTTCTCTCAATCGAAGCCCGTGTCGATGCAGTCGATGATCGTGCTAGAGCGGAAGTTCAACCGCTTACTCGCTGTTGAGTTGTGAATTTGAATCCGTCGCGCGGAATAAACGCATCCTCGTTTTCCTCCACGTTTCCTACAGCTTATATACCTCTCCTTGGTGGCACGTTCATCATCGATAACAAGCCGAGAAAACGAGAGACGACGATGACGACGACACTACCTGTTCCCGCATACTAATTCTCTTAGTCAAGGTGCCATATCATCGTCTTTTACTGCTTTTCAACATCCTAGATTTCTCTTTGACAATTGATTAACCTTTCGTACGAGAAGATTTTTCAAAATGAACTTTCTTTCGCCATAACTTTTGATCCTTTATCTTGATATAGATTATTGGATTAAGATCGATCGGAATCTTTTCATTTTTCAAGATATTACATTTTGAGATATCCAATGATTATTATTTATTCTTTTCATTTTCTTTTATCTTCACATACGTACTTATACGAGTGCCTGAATATAAAATTTTCGAGCGACTAAAAATCGTAAAAATTTAATCACGGTTTAATGCAAGATAATATTTTGTTGACGACAATTTTCAATAAAAATCATATCAATTAAATTAGATTGAATAAAGTTCTTGTGTCTGGTCGGATATTAGAAATATATAATATAATCCTCCTTTACGAGTTTCTTTCTTTTGCACAGTGATATCGATTCGAAGGAAACCTGCAAGCAAGGATTCTAATCGTGGTGAAATAATTAAACGCTAAGGAAGGAAAACGAGCAAGAGAAAGGTGGAAGAGGAGGAGGAGAAGGAGGAAGAAAAGGGTAGAGAAAAGGAGGGCGAAAGCACGTTAATCGTTAAGAGATCGTTGAACCTGATAAATTAGGAAGTTCATAGATATCTATATATAGAGAGCTAGACTCTTTGCGAGAGCTCACACTTTGGAGAATTTTACGAAGGAAAGAGAAAAAAAAAGAGATAAAATAGGATAATGCCTTTAAAAAAAGAAACTATTAGAATCGCGAGAGTGTTCATGAAATACCGAAAAGGAAAAGGACAACGACGAAAACGATTCGAAAGTTTCTGTCAGACTTTGCAATGCTATTGCTCTCATACAACTGTCCACGGCTTGAGATATGTCTCGGATAAAGAATTAAGTTACTTCGAGAGACTTTTCTGGCTGTTTATAGTCGTTCTTTCGTCGATTTTTGCCATTGGAACGATCTACATGATAGCCGAAGAATTTCAGGTGATTCTACGATGCCCTAACGAACTAAACGACCCTATCGTTCAACGTCGACGATGATAGATGGATGGATGGGTGGATGGATGGATGGATGGTTCGCACCGAACTCGGTTTTGCATCGAACACCTACCTTAATACATACACAGATATACGTATACATATGCATATATATATATATATATATATATATATATATTGTACGTATATACATATATATTGGCCATTACGAGACTTCCAAGTTAAATCGAATTTAAATTTTCAAGTTTATCTCGCTCACGCAAGAGCCGCTTCGATAATGATGCTTGCCTTAATCTAAAACATTCTCTTAGACTATTAAACCGATCAGTTCATGAACCTGTACAGTTTTTCTTTTTTTTCTTTTTTTCTTTTTTTCTTTTCCTTTTTTTCTTAACCATTTCATGTATGTAAGGTACATTGAAACATTAGAGTGAAAATGTCGATATTTACACCTGGTTTTTTCTTTTTTTTCTTTTTTTTTTTTTTTTTTTTTTTTTTTTTTTTAACATAACGTACAGTTCACGTTCCTTTATCCTAACGATAATGGTATCAACGTTTCCACTTCTGTGCTTTCCTAGTTCTATCTATGGAAAAAGAAAGGAAAAAAGGAAAAAAAAAGTATAGTGAAAAAAAAGGACGACGAATAAATACTATTTATCTCTTCTCGTAGACTTATCCAACGTCCTCGAGCATAGAATCAACGAATTACAAAATTTCTGGCATACCCTTTCCAAGCGTGGTCATTTGTCCGAATCAGCACATCGATTGGAATACGGCAATGGATCTCGAGAAAAAAATCTTTTCTAATTCTACGAAAGAAAGCAGCGTCACGACTTTTCGTGAATTACTAGAGAAACTATCGATCATAAATCTTGGTGACTTCGATCTTTTCATGTTCCTAAAGAATCGAGATCTTGACGAACTCGCTGGTACGTTGAATAGAATTTCAATTTAGATTTTTCTACAACTCCTCTTTGTAGAAGACAAAAAGAAAAGAGATAAAGTTCGAAGAAATTTCAAGATTCTTACGAAATAAATTTAATTCTTTGCATATCTTGTTATAATAATTTATCATATTTCTCATTATTTTTAATGAATTCTTAGAAACTTTATTCTTAGTAGTTACAATGAGTTCATTATTTTAATGATTTCCTAATTGCTGTCGAGACAAAAAAAAATACATATATATATATATATATATATATATCATAATTATTGTTACATTATAGTATATTAAATTTTAAACCGAATATGTCAATACGATCGCATTAACAAGAACAAATCGACTATGAATTTTGGTTATCGATCCTTATGTCATTTTCGAGAAGATATCAACGTGACGAGAGTACTTCTGGAAACGATACCAAAGTGTTCAGATCTGTTCTCTCGTTGTTGGTGGCGAAACTCCTATCGTGACTGCTGTGAGATCTTCGAGGTTCAAAAGACAGAGTATGGCTTTTGTTACTCCTTCAACTCGGAGTTGTCAGAAGAACGGAGAGATCAAATTGAAGACAAGGAAACGCGACCGCGAAGAACATCTGGTTACGGCGAATGGAGCGGCGTTCAACTGAGGATGAATTTGGAGAATATAAAAAAACCACCAAACTCTAGTAAGATTTTTAAAAACTAATAATTTCGTTTAATAGCTCATTAATAACACTTTATACATTTGGCTCCTATAATTGTAATTTGTATAACATAACGCATCCAATTATCGTTCATTCAAAGACTTTATTTCGAATGAATACAAATTTCAATGGATTCTCATTTAAATCGTAGTTTATATAAACGTAAACATATAGAAATTCGCGAGATCGTAATTATTTCGCTCAATTTACTCTATAAATAATAAATCGATACGATATCGAATATCAGAGAATGAACGGAATCAAGTATGAGCATAAACAATTCAAATAATGCGTAAGTATCGATTTATTTTGCTCTCGTATGATATATTCTACGTTTTATTCCCATCGATATATCACAAATATGAACGTTATGTTCTAATGCTTTACGGAATACGATATTTGCGATTGTGCATGACAAAGATGCACGATGTGTTCCTAAGGTACATGTATAAATTTATATTTTTAAATTTATATTTTATAATATATATATATATATGTTTATATTTATATGAGAGATGTTTGGCTTTTACTGTAATGTATTAAACGTTAAAGAAAACATTTTAATCATAACATTGTGCTATATAATCGAATATGTAATTTCATAATTTAAATTTGGAAATTATCTTATCAATTTTAAAATGAATAATATACTAACGTCATAACGTTAATCGGACTATCAATCAGTTTAGAATTATCGGGAATAAATTGAATTTAAATTAATCACATCAATGGATGAGACAGACAGAGAGAAAGAGAGAAAGAGAGAGGGAGAAAATATGTGAATTACGATAAAAGAAAATGAAATATAATATTAAGCTTTTTATTTTCTTATCTCATTTTCTTACGGACTTTATCATAAAGTAATATTTCACTGTGCTATCGTCGCTTTTACAGTGAGCAAGAAGTTAATAAGCAACGTCAGATGCACATTATAAAGCGTCCAACTTTTTTTTCTTTATACTTTTTTTCATTTTCTTTTTCTCCGAGAGAAATGAAGATTTTTCAAGTTACCTTTACCATAGAATCTTTGATTAAATTGTTACGTGGTTACCAGTATATATATATATATATATATATATATATATATATATATATATATATATATTAGTAAATTCGAGCTTATGGTAACTATTGGGTCTACGTTGGTAATCACAGAGACCAATACGCAAGGTTTGCTCTTAATGTAACTCGAATGTTAAACCAGTGACAGTGTAACTTCATCAGCGTGGCATGTCAATCCAGAGCTCGTTAACCGAACAAGCAAAAGGCTTTATATCCGAATCAATTCCCGATATCCCATGTCGACGTACGCATAATTCCTGAAATGTCGTTGGTGATAACCAACAGGCATTCTTCGACCGGACGAATTATTGATCGAATTCGACGGACGATTTCACTCGGTTCGCAATATGACAAATACCATTTACATTCGTTTTAAATATAAATTTATCATTTCAAAAATGGGTGGCCATTTAATCGTCTCGATGATATGTTTCAAATCAAATGATATTACTTGTCGACGTTTTATCGGCTCTTTTGTGTCTTAAATTCCTTCAAACGAAAGAATTAAAAAGTTAATATAATTTTCTTTTTTCTTAAAATTCTTTCTTTCTTTTCTTTTTTTTTTTTTTTTACATTTAAATTCGCGAAGTGCATAAAGAAGGAAAGAAGTACTAAAAGAAAGAAAATTTTACAATAACACAGATGTAATACCTATTGTTCCACCTTAGAACACGTCGTTTTGTCTGTCTGTCACGTTTCAGAAGAAATGGACGGTGGAAACGTGATGATACAAGGACCGAGAGTTTGGCCTAACAGCGGCACCATGACACCAGTCGGCGTTATTCTCAACATCGCCTTAGACTGTATTTCGGGATATGCGACACAGCGAGTCCTCGAGCTCGACGACGACAGGATGCCGTGCAAATACGACGAGAACGGACTTTACAACCAACAAACCTGCATATCTTTTTGCAAGCGAGCTTACGCGGTCAAGTACTGCGGCTGCAATCCGTCCTTTCTATTTCCATCCAGTGAGACTATCCTCTACTACCTACTTTATCTTACTTTTATACTTGAGAATTTGTGTTATGTATGATAACATATATATATATATATGTGTGTGTGTGTGTGTGCATGTATGTGTGTGTGTGTATAAAACTTGAACGTATCTGTTTCAGTTACTACCGTTCGTGATTGTAATATCAAAGATCTAATTTGTCTCGCAGAGAATAATGGTGAGTATTCGAAAAAATTAAAATTAAAATTATAATAAATTAAAATTGATGAAAGTCGGTGATAAATATATATATTTTTTTTTTCTTAATAAAACTTCATCATGATTAAATTTAATTTATATTCCTTTTCTTTCATTTAATACAGATATATTCAATTCGTATTATCTGCTCCAAGATAAGCAGATACTCGATGACAAACCAGGAATGTTATGCGATTGTCCACCAGAATGCGAGTATTATTTCTACAAACCACGATTGACGGTAGTACCGATATCAGGAAGCAAGGATATCATCGTGGACATACATTTCGAGACGCAAACGAGCTTTCGATATAAGACCGACATTGTCTTAACGAAACTCGACCTCCTTGGTAATTGACGTCATTCTACATTTCCATATCCAACTAAGGCACAACGAAGCTTCTATCCTATTCAGAACTCGACGCCTAGCATTGTTACTGAAGCTTTTGTTTTTCGAAATGTTCTTCGAGACCACGGAGATTAGCATGGATCCGATCTAATGACTTTCTATTCGGACAAAAGGACGTTAACAACCTAATAAGCACGTTATCACTAGAAAACATCGATTATATGATTCTTAATATCTCTTTCTGTCTCTTTCTCTCTCTCTCTCTCGCGCTCTGTTTCTCTGCCCTTTTCTTTTTTCATTCTCACTGTCCCTTCTCACTATCCTTTTCTTTCTCTTTTCAACAGTCCAAACGAAATTGCTCTTTTTTTCCTTCACAACTCTCGTCGAGTCTTTACAAAGCCAGTAAATTTTACAAGCCCGAATTACGATGTTCTCGGAACGCTAAAACTACATAATTTATTCGCATGCGCCATACCATATACCTATCCACACTCTGAGACTCTCTAGGACGGTTCACATAGATTCACTCTTGCCTACAGAATCATAAATTTATCCCCAAACTTTTCATTCATATTGAATTAATTCCACCTTCGTCGTTCGTTTTGCAAAGTGCACGCGTTATCTACCTAACGGAAATGATCATTCTACCAATTCTAAGTAAACCTTCATTCACATTACTCGCCAAATGGAATCAAGTTTCAAACTCTTCCATTGATTTTTCTACCTTTCTTTTTCAATTATACACACTCGTGAAAGTCGATGAAAAGTAAACATACCGTTGGATATAATATTAAATTCTACTGATCTACCCATACCGATCCGCGTTTCTTTTTTTGTTTTTTTTATTTTTTTTTTTTTTTTTTTTTGCGAGAAATATTAGAGAAGAATCATTTCGATGAATTTACGAACACTCTGCGGAATTATTTATCCGAAAAAAACGTTATAATGTTCGATGGAAAGTCATACGATAGTTGTCGATAAATTTTTTCGATTTAAAAATCTATCGCTAAGATTTTATAATTTACGAACAGATTATTATGATTATAAATTAAGTCGTACAGTTGTTTCAAATTATCGTGAAGATTTTTGGATTGAATTTTTCTTTTTTTTTTTTTTCTCTTTTTTTCAGAAATAATTCTAGATGAATACGAATTATATTCTTATCGTTACAGTATCATTCGGCGGCATTATCGGCTTGTTTCTCGGAGGTTCTCTTCTAAGCGCGGTGGAGCTCATTTACTATCTTCTAGTTCTCCTGTATTGTTGTGTTTCTTCCTGGTACAAGTCGGCTAAGCGAAAAGTTAACGTTCAAGGAGAGAGCGAATCTGTGGTAACGGTAATTCCAAGATTACCTATTCTGGATTATGGACCCCTGAAATCGCAATCGAGGAAGATTCCGAATCTACTCGTCTACGATTACGAGAAGCAGAAACCCGACAGATATTGAAGCAATCACGGTTACTGACTTTACTTGGAATATTATCACTGCTTGGATTTTAGATTTTTAATAATGAAATTTTCTCTAAGTTCCTTCTATTACGTTATTAATAATAGTAAATTTATCAAAATATAAATCTTCTTCGTTTCTTTTCCAAATTTATTTTCAATACAATTTAAAATATTTACATTCTATTTATCAATATGTCAAAATGAAATTGAAAATAATGATTTTCTAGATGAAACTACGGATTTTCTAGAAACCTGAAAAGTGTATGGAGAACAGGAAGATAAGTGTAGAGTAAACAACTTCATTAAATCGGTACTAAGAAATCCAGAAAAAGCGACTAACAAGGAGAAAGGGTAAGGAACAGCTGTAGAAAGTGCGCAGAAACGTCACGTGACGAGACAAGTACCACTTCACATTTCTCTCTCTCTTTCTCTCTCTCTCTCCCCCTTTCTTCTCTTTCCCTCTTTCTCTTGTCGGAGATACATCACGCGTACCAAGTAAAATCGTTCCATAGTTTCCGTATTTTCGTCTTTACCACCATGGGAATGCTTCGCATCCGGTACTAAGGGTAAGATGGGACTAAATGTACGCGGCTGTCTAACGGGCCTCCCATTTAGCCATTTATTATTTACGATGAGTATACTGAAGAGCTAAAGGTAAGACGTGCAAGAAGGACGGAAGAAAGAAAAGATAGAGAGGAGTTGAGTAGAGGTGAGAAGTAACCTTGTGTTTCGTTCATAACATAACAACGTCGAGAGTATATATACAGCGACGAACAGGGACTTTAGTATTCGTATAATATGGATATGAAAACATATTCAGTATATGTATACTATTTTTACACTATATATATATATATATATATATATATATATATATATATATATATATTATGTGTATACTATGTGTATACTATATGTATACTATATGTATACTATGTGTATACTATGTTTTTTGAAAACAAAAGGAAACTTTAGTATATTGTTCAATGTGTACATAAAAAAAAAGAGAATAGATGAGAAAAGTCAACTTGCGTTTAATCCGTAACGTAACAGCGTCTACTATTTATATATATATATATATGTACACCATATTTTTAAGACAAATCGACTTTGTTATATAATCCAGTATATATGTACGTATATAAAAGATGAAGGGAGAGGAAACAAAAAAAAAAAGAAAAATAAGAATCCCTACTCTCATGTACGAGCGCTTATCTCCCTTCAAGTTTTCCCGTCGTACGTGTAAGATTTATCCGGCTCTGAAAGGTAGGAAGCATTGCCAAAGCACAGCTTCTTTTTTTTCTTTTTATTTTTTTTTTTTTCTTTTTCTCTCCCTTCTCTTTTCCAAAGCATCCGACAACGGTTCCATCATACGTCGTTCACTGATAACGACGTTTCCTTCCTTCCTTCCTTCCTTCCACTTGAGAAGACAGTACTTCTACATACAGCAGTCGACAAAATTATAGGATATAAGGTACTACGTGTAAACGAGTTTTGCGAAGGAATGACGTCAGCATCGACTACGTAAATACTTTTTTCGATCGAGCAAAACATACATAAATGTTGTCGCGTTCTAATTTCTTTCGAATATCGCGATGACGATTCAATATAGACATATATATATATATATATATTTTTTTTTTTCTAAAGAATATTTTTAAAACACGAGAGTCCCGAAAATATCGAAATATTCTCCACGTTTTCTGTACGAAATTCTCTTTAATCGGTACGAGCTTCGTAAATTTCCAAGACTATGTAGTTCTTGCCAAAGCATTTGTTATATAAGTTCAGGGAGTAAATATTTCGAGAAGCAATGAAGTATTTGACTTGGAACGTCCTACGAATATAAAATAAACGTCTCTTAGACATCGTTTTATTCTATTTTATTAACAAAAAAAATTAAACTTCGTTCTACCTATGGTTAATATTTTTAATACATATTTGTTATAAAATCCATTGTAAAAAAGAAAAATAATAATTAAATTAATGCAAAACTTTAATCAGATACAATCGATATCAATTCGATCGGAACGAAGCAATATGATTGATATTTTGTTTCAATCGTGATAATTCTTATATAATGTAAAAGAAAGTAAAATGATGTAAAAGAAAAGGAAATATGAGAAAGAAAAAGAGACAGAAAAAAAAAAGTCAAACGAAATAATCGATTATATATCAAGTTTAAACGTGTTGCTTAGAGAAAGCGTGTGTTCCTTCTTAAAGGCGTATTGCTATTCAAGGGACGAACAGAAAGTGGAATAAAAACGAAATAAGTAGAAAGGAATAAAGCGGGGATAAGAGACGCGAGTTCGTAAGCTTTTATAAGCTCGCATCGTTGGTGAATCGGTCGTCGTGAGACGTTAGCCTTTCGAGATGGATAAAACTGTCTGGTGTTAAGAGACTCTCTCTCTCTCTCTCTCTCTCCCTCTCTCTATCTATCTCCCTTTACTTCTCTTCTTCTACTTATCACCCAGCGCATGTCTGTTCGACGTGGCCTTACTGATATCGGTAACAGCTTGGGAGATTGGTGGTTTGCTCGAGAGAAGGTAAGAGAAGAAAGAGGAGAAGGTGGATGATGAAGAAGTGGAAGGAGTTTGAGCTTACTCGAGACTAGGAGAACGAAGAAAGGAGAGAGAGAGAGAGAGAGAGAGAATAAAGATGAAAGGGGTGAGAGTAAAAGGGTGTAGAAAAAGCAATCGTTGTCAGGGAAACGAAGGAAATCTGCATTTTGTCAAACTGTTGCTTGAAAGTTTCTAAGAAAACAGGTCCATTGAGTTGAAAGGTGAGAAAGATAAGAAGAATAAAGAGAGAGAGAGAGAGAGAGAGTGGGGGAGGGAAGGGAGAAAGAGTGGGAGGGAAAAAGATGGAGAGAGATAGATAGATGGATAGACAGATAGAAAGAGAAAGAGAATAAGAAAAGCTTCTCTTTGTACGACGGTCGCTGCAGTGTGACGTAGCTGACGACAGCAAAAGAGGGGAAGTGATAGGGAGGCGGTAAGATTGTCAGGTCGAGGGTAGAAAAAGGAAAGAGAAATCCGTGGCACGACCGGTCTTGGGTAAGGAAGTGAGAAAGTTTGGAAGAACTCTCCGATGTGCTGTTATCTAAACCCTTCACGTACCTCGAGTACTTCAGGGATCTTGGGAAGCGACGAAGTGACAGAAATATCCTCCGAATTACTTTCGATAATGATCGTCCCACGTCGTTCTTATCGAATCGCATTCAACGAAGTACGGCCATGACTTTTGACTTTTAATCGAAGGGACTATAATAATCGGATCGTTTTTTCTTATTGAATATCACGACGATTTTACAAAGATACGTTCCCTATTTTCGTAATCATTAAATCAAACACATTCTGATACTTTTTTCGTATAGATAAAAATTAATAAGAGAATCATATATATACATATATATATATATATATATAACCATAAAATATTCCGCAAAAAATGAAATATCTCTGTCACATATCGTGATTTATCAATCATCAACAAGTTTTATTCGTATTTGAGGAGGAAAATGTATAATAGTTTTGACACGTAGGCAATATACTTATCGCTTCCCTTTTCAACTTGGACGACCTCCATGAGTTGCAGTCCATTGCAGTTTAAATCTTTCCAGCAGCGCAATATCTTTCTTCTCTTTTCTCGTATATAAGACGTACGACTTTTCTAGATCAGGCGACACGTATTACGCGTGAACACACATTCCTATAAGACGCACATACACATACACACATACACAAATATATATATATATATATATATATATATACATATATATATATATATATATATATATATATATATATATACATGTAAAAGAGACACGAATATATAGCAGACGTACACGAAAGAGCTTGAGAACGAGGTCGCACCTGCAATTCGCCGTGCCCTCGTCTTCGTACTCGTTTCATCGGTAAGAGAGAGAGAAAGGGAGAGAGAGCTGATTTCGTAAGCGTGAAAATGCATTACTCTCAATTTTCTTGAACAAGGCAGTATCACCCAATATCGTTGTGCATAAGATATCCGAAAATGTAGAAGCTTTCTCGATGTTCTTTGTAATAGAAAACAATATTATTTACCAAATAAGATGTATCAATTTCTTTCATTTCTACAAAATAATTGTACAAAGCAACGTCATTACATTCATGAGATATGATTTTCAAATAAGAAATATTTCGATGGATTTATACTTGGAAGAGGAAAAGTGACGAGGAGGAGTCTGTGATGAGGCTCGTGAAACGACAGGATTAGCTCTTTCTCTTTTTCTCTTTCCCGCTCTTGACCAGAACTCTGACGGTTTCCAAGCCATGATAAGTATCTTCTAAGTTAGCTAGCGAGAATGTTATATATGTTTAGCAAAGAGATGTGAGAGAGAGAGAGAGAGAGAGAGAGAGAAAGAGAAAGATGATGATGATGAGTAGTGTTAGCTTTAGACTATCATCATCATCCTCGCTAGAAGCCAATATAATTTTAATGAATCTCTTCTGACGAACACATTGTAGTGGCACGCTTTTGTCACAAGCTTACCTCTTTAATTTCTCACAGTAAGAAAGAATAAGGCACTATGGTCATTGATTTGCCGTATTTTCTTTGTACACCGTGTATATCCAACACGAGTATCGTGGCCAGGAGAGTAAAACAGGCAAGCTGCCACGTACATGCACCAAAGTGGGTTATAACGCGAACCGTAGCTTTACCGTCGTCTCGAATACAAACCAACCCCTCAGCATCACGTCACCGCACCAACCCCCAACCCCTCCCCTATTATGCTCTTTCGCATGGAACGGCTCTTGGCGCGTCGTCACTTGGCTCGTCGATATTCTCGGCACTTATCCGACGCGAACGACGAGAACTCGTTATTCGCGAGACCGTCTCCTATACCATCGATCGACTTCCCTTTCGACCTTTCTTCTCTTACCTTCCTCAATTTATAACCATGTAACACATTTCTCTCCTTCTTGATAGCCTTCCTATTGTTTTTCTTTTAACGTTTGGAATCTCTCGTTAAAGAAAAATCTAATATGTTTATCTTCGATAATCATCGCTGGATAAATCTTACGATATAAAATAAAATTTTCGTCGTTAGATTTTTAAAAATTTCGCATATCCTTTTTTTTTAGTTTTTTCTTTTCTTTTTTCTTAATCAATAAAATAAGAACATTTGAAAGAATTTGGGAGTATTAATCGAACGAGTCGATCTTAAGATCAAATTTTTTTTCCTCGATCTACTCGTATGCAGACGAAGACATTATAAAAAAACAATAGTCGACATAGCAAACGTGACTCTTAATTTTTTACATTCAAAATACAAAAGGATAGTCGATTTAGATCGAGATATCTCGAGGATAAAATGAACTTAACTTAAGCACTTAGATTTAACCAACAACTATCGTATAAAATCGAACGAAATTAATATGAGAATCGAATTTATCTATCGATCGGTAGATAGTAGTAGGTCGGAATCGTTTCAACTTTGGAACCTTTCACTCGATTCGGTATCATCGTTTCCGAATGAATAGTAATAGGTCGATCGTTGAAGTTAAACGGAAACTATGAGGCTCAAGCTCGCATAGAGCTTCAGGCTGTAGTGTAACGAAGGATCGATCAAACGAAACGTTCGTTAAATGCTTTACGAGCATCCGTTTTCAGCCGAATCATGTTTCATCCCTTTTTCGTAAGATAGTTTGACGATTATCCTTTTTCAGAACACAGTTCTTTTTCCCCTATTTTTAGTACATTCTTTTTTTTTTATTTACATAATTAGATAATATCAACGTTTTATTGCAAATTCAAAAGCATACTTACGTATTGCTTCTTCAACGCAATCGATTGAAAAAAAAAAAAAAAAATTGACTCATGAATTTTGAATATATTTGAAAAGGGATAAAAATATTCGATATCTCGATATCTGTCGATTATCGATTAAAATTATACTGCGAATTAAATCTTATATATTTTATTGTTAAACACCACGATAAAATATTTATCGTTTAATAGTTCTTCACACTGTATAATTAAACGATCGTCAAATTCACAATGGTTTATTGATCTTGAATTTACTTAATACCCACGATTCCTTACTGTTCGGCGAATAATCGATATATATATATATATATATATATATATATATATATATATATATATATACAATGAGAGAAAATCTGGACAATATTATATTTTAATGGCTTCGGTTACGATACGATTCTCCTTCGAAAGTACAGGAAACGTAAATAAACCGATTATTTTATTCGAGAGTGATATCATGAACGAGTCGATGTAAACATCGACATAACAAAGTAACAACCAAGATGGATGATCAGAACGATATTCACTGAGATAATTCCACTCCATCACTATCATCTTTCTCGTAAATGTCTTATATTAAATTATTTCTATTTTCTTTCTCAATGTATTATCACGAAATGATAGTGACATTAACGAATGATAAATAAGTGATATAAGTAAAAGCATGAATTTATTTGATAATCAGTTAGATACTTTTGGACAAAAAAAAAATAAATCTACATGCGTGTTCGTTTTTTTTTTACTAGCATAGATTTAATATCAGAGTCGGTAAAGCACATAGCTCATGAGAGAAATACTTCTTCTCGACGCAGCTCAACACAATATTGGATTGTAATTCGAATGAAAATTTTCTTCCATCTGTATTACCTCCATAGAAATTGCTCGACCCAATAATGTACTTGAGAATCATAGAAAATTACTTAATATCCAAGAAAAGAATTGTGCTAATGTTGAAACTAATACGAAGAAATTTATTACGATATGAAATCACAATTTTTTAATTTAATTTTGTGCATTGTATCAAATCATGAGATATCCAATTCATAAGTCTAACATTTTACATATCTATAATTTTCTTAAAATTGTATCTCGATAAAAAATATTTTGTCAGAATGCTACGAAGAAATATATTATAAATATATCAACTTGCCATATTACGCTTTAGTATTGCGTTTCTCAATATTGCCGTTGGTACTTGAGATTAAGAGTCATTAAGATCGTGCCAAGCACAGTCCATGTTGTACGTATAATACTACGACCATATACGACATCCACTTACATCCAAGGATATTGGTTCATAACTCAACTCGAGTTGAGTATGTAGTACGGGTTGCACCTGTAACAAAAATCCATTGACGTAGTTGCTGATAATATATTAGTTCATAATGCTTACGGCAAAGCTATAATTTTATGTGCAATTGTATATTTTTAATTTTTTCTTTTTCTTTTTTTCTTTCTTTTTTTTTTCTTTGTCTTTTTTTCTCTTTCAAAGATTTCATTATAGGTACTCTCTTTTCCTCTTTTAATTCACCTCGTTGGTAAGAATCGATATCTTCCCCCTCTCCTACTCCTACCAACACAAGCATTGTAATTCGAGAAGTTTCTGCACTGATATTGATCAAAACTCAGATGAATATAGTTTTCGATCCATTTTATTTGACGTAAAACAAGTATTTCATTGTCAACGATATAAAAGCAAACAAATAAAAGAAACGTGATGTGAATGAAGGTGCACGAATGAAAATAACAATTCCGCGTTTACGTAAGTACGTCTTAAATTTTGATCCTGTCGAAAATCTTAAATCTTGTTCTTGTGCTAAATATACGTAATTAAGTAAAAAAAAAAGAAGAAGAGACAATAAATTAGGAAAGACAATTTTTGTATTTAATATTATGTGAAACGTTTCTAAAAATCAAACGTTATCATTTCTAAATCCTAACGCACAAATACAAGACATGATTTACGAAAAATCTTATGATATATATATATATATATTTTTTTTTTTTTATCACGTTCACATCACTAAATCTGTTGGCAACTTTCAATTTCTCAAGACGAAAGACGTTGTTTAGTCTTGAAGCGTTTTCACTTGTATCTATTTTTCGGTACACGCCTTTAATATACACATATTGAAAATACGCAAAATATGAGAGACGTACGCGCGCGTTGTGAACTCGACGGAGAGTGGTTTCGTACTGAACAACATTTTGATGACAAGAAACGACATTGAAATATATTTCCGTGAGGCTCCTTCGAAAACAAACAAATAAAACCGACAAGACTCTTTCTCTTTCTCTCTCTATCTCTCTCTTTCTTTCTCTCCCGACCTCTCTCTCACCTTCTCATCCTCGATACAAACATACATATGTATGTATATACGTATGTTTGTATTTTCAAGAAGACGTACGCATCCACGTTGCGACCAAGATATAACTCTGGCCATTTCTCTTACCAAGGTTTAGAGGGGAGAAGATAGGATAGAGAAGGTTGCTCGTGGAAAATGCGCAATTTGGTCTGGCACTAGTAAATACGAGAACGTTGGAAAAGTGATTCCGCTGATATTGCTGCTTGAAATTTAAGGTTTCTACGACCATTTCGAAAATCTAATCCCCCATTTGTATCAATATTGATGTTCTTTACGATGAACGTATTCCAAAATTTATATAGAAGTAGAAAATTTATTGCGAATAAAAAAAGAAGAGAAATGAATGATAAATTTTATTTTACAACTACATCGTAAAATTATACCTAGATCCTTGTTGTTACTTTTATATAGAAAAAAAAAAAAAAAAAAAAAAAAAAAAAAAAAAAAAAAAAAAAAAAAAATATCATTTTAATTCTCAAATAGTTTGGAATGCGATAAACATTGGACAGTCATGAGCGTGTTTCTTTCTTTCTTTCTTTCTTTTTACCTAGACATGGGGATATCGTATCACTCTCTTGTATTGGCCCTACGAGAACTTTGAGAAATGGTCCGTACGAAAAAGTGGTGATTTATTTCTCGGGAATGCGGCTACCCCAGTTCTTCTTTTTCTTTCGTCTCATTGCTTCGATAGTTACTTCGTTTTCTCGTTCGACAAATTTTTCTCGCTCCATTTCGCTTCGTACAGTACGGTCTTTCTTTTTCAGGTCGTCCTTGACACGTACGAAACAACTCCATTTCCGTCGATTGAAAATGAAAAAGACACTGATGATAATCGACGTTCATTCTTCGAAGTCATTAAAAAGACAAGTGATTGTCAATGAAAAAATTGGGATACAATGATATCATAGTGATAAATTCATGAATTATAAATTGTTCGATGAGTAACGTGATCGAAATTTTATGACGAATGCTTGATACAAAGTTAAAAAATGAAAAATAAGAAAAGAAAAAGAAGGAAAAAAAGGAAAAAACAATTAAGAATAAATGAAAATAAAATAATTAATGATAAACTATAGATAATGGTAAACGATTTAAGTAACGATGATATATGTAACGTTCGATACGAAATATCGATGCAATTTGACGATAAAAGAGTAACGAATCCCTCGAAGCTATCAGTAAAACCCGAGGCGATATTGCTAACGAGTTTCTGACGATGCCTTATGCGACCTACGGGTACCTTTTATGTTCTATAATGTGCTTGCAATCCAGGATTCTCAGCCGGATGTGGATTTCGTCGACTCGAAAAAGGAATACAGAGCTTCGAAACGAAAGTAAGCAGCTTCGAGTTATACTTTTTCTTTGGCAACGTGCAACTTTCGAATCCTTACTTGTAGTTTACGTTTATCCAATAACGACTACTTGAGAAAAGCGAACTTCCTTTTTACGTTTACTGCAAACTAGTTCCCCGGCAATATAAAGCTTTGATCTGTCTTAGACTGACTGTAAGATGATGAAAAAGAAGGGGACAGGGAGAGAGGGAGGGAGGGAGAGAGAGAGAGAAAAGAGATCTTGCGGCAGAGAAATTGGATGTGTAAGTTAGTTCGAAGGTTACAAAATTCACAACTTTTACGATTAGATCTATCAATACTTGATATATATATATATATATATATATATATATATATATATATACCTTTATATACTTTTTCTTTTTTTTTACATTAAATATCGAAGGTGATTGGAATTATTGAAATGAAAAAGTTCTCGTCAATTTGATAATAAATTTGTATTTGTTAATTTTCAAGCGATTTATATAATATCTAATTTATTCTATCTCGTAAAATATTTATATTTCGTTAATCGTAAAGAATATATTTATATATATTACAAATGAAGGGACATTGCTATTTAAATCGCGACCTGTTCTCTCGAATGGAGAAACACTAGGCATTCTGAAGTTACGAGGAACGGTTTCTCCGTGGACGAAGTTAGAGAGCGAGAACTTAGTAAGCCTCGAGAACCCTAAGGATGGTAGTATCAAACTACAGCCACGAAAAGCTTTCATTCCAACACGGTGAAACCACCACGACTCTCTACCCCTCTTACAACCAGTTAGAACTCGCTCCCATTTTGTACACACGATCCTAAGCGGACAAGATTTAACGAGTAAAGCTTCAAACTTAAAGAAGAAGAAGAAGAAAAAAGAAAAAAAAAAAAAATAAAAAACGTAATAATCCGGTAAATAGCTTCTTTCATTCTAATTTATATCTTATGCCAGGAAAAAAGGACACCTTTATTAATAATTTCAAAATATAACACTTAATCCACAATTTATTTGCAAATCTGTAAAAACAAATTTCTAAGAGTAACTATTTTATTCTATGAAAAATACTACATTATATAATTAAAAAATTATTAAAACAAAAGAAAAAAAAAAAACAGAACTATCGAATCCATTCCATTGGATCGTCCTTTATATCTATTAAAAAGTTTCTTTCTTTGATTAATAATAAAAATAAATAACTTTTATCAATAGCTACTATCGTACGCCATCTTTTATTAGTGAGAAAGTACTAAATTTATAGAATAAATTCCTAACTTATCAACCAAAATCATCGATTCACTGGTATACGACATTTATTGAGGTAGATTACTGAAACGTTATGTCGCGTCATGCTCTGGTTTCAACGGTAGATAAAAGCATTAAATATGGCGAGTGTAATAAAATGATTCATTAGTAACGATTCATAAAGGGTACCATGAACGTAAATTAAACTTCTTAAATTCTGAATAAATTTCTATCACAAGTATAAGATCTTAAAGGGTATTTGATTTGAAAGATTTTAATATTAGCGCTATCGTGAATTTTTATTAGAGATAATTTTAAGTGCATGTCATTTTAATGAATCGTTAGACGAAATGAATAATATCAAGGATAGAGTATATCTACTGGTAGAAGCGAGGAACTAAACATACTCGTTATGTAAATTAAAGCCGCACAAGTAATTAAAGGTTTAACAGGAGTACGTGCACTCGTTGCAACTACTACGGCCAGGTATAATTTTCTTTGGTCCGGTTTAATTCGGTTTAGCTAAATCACTTTTACAATGCGAACGTTTCAGTAAAATCGTGTACGACTTAAATTTTTGTTAAATATTCCGAACAACTAAACAAACGATTTTTCATTTAGCCCAATTATATTAATTAATATCAGATATTTAATTTATTATTATTGACGCGATTAAATCATTATCGATTTAATTCAAAGTTAATCATTTGAAATAATTTAGGATATATTCTTGGCAATAGAGATTACGATCATTCGTTCAGGCATATTGCATCCTTAGTTCCCAATATATATAGATAAACCTTTACTTTCATTGATTCTCTATTAGCTCGTATAAGAGTACTTATCTATAAATATATTACGTAAAGATTAAATCGAATAAAGCTTATTCGGTCAATTTAATTAAAATATTTAGTTAAATTAAATGATTAATCGAATGACTAATTATTACTCATTGTTACATCAGATAAAAACGATGTTAAACGTATTGACAAGGATACTTCTCATGAATCATGTATATATATGTATATATATATACATATATACTTTTAATGAGCGGTATATAATTAATAAAAATAATACAATTAAATGTCATACATATTTTTCTATCAAAATTTGTTATTTAAGAAAATGAAACACGAAAAATATTTTCGACTATAATTGTTCTTTGTATTTAAGTCTCGATTGCATAACGATTAAATCGCAAAATAAGTCGTCTTAAAGTCAATCACGTAATAGAAGATCGAGGGAATCTTCGAAGGTATTGAAAGATTCTAGACGACTCGTTGAAACTGGTTTTTGAACGATGTGGCCCTTTGTACGTATCATCCATCTTCTCTTTTCACGAAAGAACTAACGACGTCTCGAAGATGAGATAAACGGGTGACAAAAAAAATCTCGCTATTCCAGATGTGGTGCTCTTATCGGAATGTGATAGAGGGAGATTCGCTGTAGGAACAACCGTTTTCAGAAGGGTAAATCGTAGGAGTGAGTGAGTGAGTAACTCAAGTTGGATACGGTTGGCATGGAAGAGGAAATAGACGGGGACAAGGGGTTGAAAGGAGTTAAGGAGGAAAGAGACGAAGAACGGAAAGGAGAAAGGATAAAGAAGGAAAAAAAGAAGGTTGAGAGGGTGCCATGAATCGTGATTTCTCTCGGTTACCTGCTTTGCACCTCAATAAAGCCAAGGGCTGCGTAATGTGAAGTATAAACTCGAGTGTTGCCCGAAAATATGGTTGGCGCTAAAAAGGAATAAAATGACGGAAAAGTAGTTTCCAGAATGCTTGAGAAATCTTCTAGCTCAAAAGTTACAACACATTGCTATTCCGTTAATGTAACAGCTGTCTCATTCGTGGCGTGTCTCTTTTTGATGTGCATGTTCTTCGCAGGAAGAAAATAGAAAAAGGAATATTTCCAACCGATACATTAGGAAAAAGTTGCAACGTAAAGATCCAATATAGATCATATTATGATATAATAGATAAATTTACAGAAATTATCTAGCGGCTGAAACGATGAAATTATTGGCTGATATAAATAATTTCCACGAAAGTGTCAGAGATTAATTGTTTTTTTTTCCCCCTTTTTTTTTCTATGAAACATCAGTTTTTATAAAATTAATTCAGTCGTCTTACTTTCTATTAATATAGCGCGGGCGTTAAAGTACATCATGAATATTCTTCTATAATCTATAATGTAATGTTTATATAACTGACATATAATTGATAATACTTATGATAATACAGAGAAAACAAAATTGTTATAATACGATCGCTTTTCTAATACACGTAGTAGATTAAACGGATAGATGAATCTTGAAGACTAAGTTAGACCGATCAGAAACAGATTAATTCTGCGCAGAATGTTCTTTGACAGAGCAAATGGGAAGTCATTGACGGAGTTGATCAGTTTGTTCTCCATTCAAACTCGCACGTCATCAATTTCAACATCGCTGTTCATTGTTCGACGGATCGGTGGAATCGGCAAAGCTGCGAATACGATTTGCTTCGGGGCGCAATCAATGTAACGTCTCGCGTATACGTCGCAAATTCCATGGCTGCCAGACATTAGAGAGTACTTTAGGACAAGAATTAAGACTCCATCGTCCAAAGTGAAGATAGCTAGGAGATGAACTTCTTCTTATCCCAGAAATATTTTTCATCATTTGTTCGATACGCTGATCCTTTTTTCTTAATTTCTTTCAAGGGTATAGTTAGTTCATTGTTATTGTCATGGTCCACTGTATTCGATTTCCATCCGATAGGTCTTAGGTCAATTCAATTTGATCATTCGTCTTCTATATTTATTAATCTCGTGAATTAATTTAAAATATAATATATAATAGCTAATTACTAAGACTACTTATCACAATCGAATATTTGGATATATCTAATTCGCCAACATCTAAATATAAACGTTACTTTTTTTCCATTAGAATTACAACAAAATAAAAAGGAACTATTATAAATTAATGTTGATATACTTATGTATGTATTTTCATGTCGCTGGAGTATAAATTTTTAAAGCTCTCAGATGAATCTGTGATATTCGATAACGTCGGATATAAAAATAAAAATATTGAAAGAGAATTCAAAGTTTTCAAACGATTCATTATTATTGAATAATAAGTAAGATAATCTCTCAATGCTAAATTTCTTTTAATGAATTGTTTCGTTCAATCTGTAGTAATAGCAGATATTTTAAGTATTGCCATGATTTTTCATTATCATCGTGAATTCTTTGAATTTCTTGATAAATGCCTACGCAAAATATGTATATCACTGATAATTAATACTACTTGATAAAGCTCGCAATACTGAGTTTTCAATGTCTAAAATTTTATAAAAAAAAAAATAAAGAATGACGAATAAACCGATATTTAAAAAATATTTTTGGTTGTCAAATTTATGACAAATTTATATGTCATTATTGTTCTTTAGCTATTTTTTTTCCTTTTTTTTTCCTTTTGATATTAAATAGTAATATTTATAAAATATTAATAATACCGTACTTTCTAAACAGACAAAATTTACATCTTACACATATAACTGAGCATCGAGTAAAATACATTTATTTATTTGACAGACACATTTCGATGTAAAAAAAAAAAAAAGAAAAAAAAAAAAACAAGAAAAAAAAAGAAAAAACTTCAATTATATTATCTAATTTAAATATAAAATGACAAAATATACGTAACGAATATATAACGATATAGATTACGAAGTAATTTGAAAAAAGTAAGTATATTTAATGGAACATCATTTAAATATAAGTAAAAATACATTATGAGGAATATTTTTAAGGCGACGACGTTTACATGGAAATGAAGAAAAACGATAAAAATAAAAGAAAATAATAAATTCTTGCTAATAATAAAAATAAGAGAAAATAATAAATTCTTGGTTGAAACATTCACATTTAAGTTCTTAATTTTATTGGAGTTATTAGAAATGATATATTATCATTTTGTAAAACACATATGTTAAACTGACTTTGAGGAAACATCTTTAAATATAACACGGGCATGTAAATGAGCAACGTGAGATTCGAGAACGATAGAAGTTTTACAATTTTCGTTACATACGGTACAATAATATTTCGTAAGAGGCATGCCCGGTGCCAAATGATTTTCGATGTGTTTGTTTAAAAGGTCAGAATTAACGAAATGTCTTTGACACTCGTTACATTGATAATCCCCGAAATCTAAATATTCGGCTAAATGTTTCTTTAAATGTACTTCTTTTTCAAATTTGACAGCACATATTGGACATGAGATATTACATTTTTCCAAACTGACAAAAGAGGAAGTAGGACCGTGTACAATTACTACTGGTTCTTTATCAACAATCATTAACTTATCGTTATCAACGATATTATTAATATTTAAGTCCGTATTAGAATATTTATAGGAAAAGGAAACGACTTGTCGCTCTTCCACGTCACTATGAAGGTGATTTTGATGATATAAGAACGAAATATCAGACATTAAAATTTCGCCACAAATACCACACTTGTGTCCGATCATCAATTTATTATCGTTATGAGTTAGATCAATGTGTTCGCTTAATATTGACAACGTACAACATTTTCTGGGACATTTCAAGCACAAATAATTGCCACGATTGGAATAATATTCAACGTGTATCATAAGTTCCGCTATGCTGTAGAATTCGATATTACATTTGGAACATATGTAAGACTTATTCATTTTATTATAATGCATAGAGTTCAATGCGAGATTTGAAATCGACGATTCTATATGTTCTTTATTCGAATGTACGTGCAACTTATGTGCATGAAAATATGGTTCAATTGCAAAACCTTCGTAACAAATCGAACATTTATATTTGTAAGACGTTGAATTATTTCTAGGATAATGGAACAGTTTGTTATGACGATGTACCATGTTCAATCCGTGGAATATATTACCACAAAATGTACATGGGAATATATGACCTTTATAATAATACATAGAATGTAACTGATAACGTTCAAAGGTATTAAAAGATAGTCCGCAAATATTGCAGACCATTGGTAAAGATGAATTAATTCCACCGTTGGAAACTTTCAAAAATTCCGTCACTCTTATATTGTTTATAGTTATTGTACTTGCATGATAATGCAATTCGTGTATACGAAGATTGTTTTCAGTACGAAAGCCTTGATTACAGAATTGACAATGCAACGTGTATAAACTACAGATGGCAGAATTGTGAGTAGTATTATTGTGTGTCTTCAATATTTTTTTCTTTGAAAAGAATAATCCACATATTTCACAGAAATTATTGAAGGAGTGATCATAGGTACGTATATGTTGGAACAAATTTTCTGGCTTTTGAAATTGTGTCCCACAAATCGAACATGGATATTTCTGCTTATTCACTGTACCATCTATTCCCGATTTAGTTATCTCATTATTATAATTATCATCCGGTTGTATCACATTTGTATGCAATATCAGATCAATTTGCCGATCCTCGTTACAAATGGTAGATTCGCCGGCAACGGACGGAGTATCCGGTATTGGTTCTTCTATCGAGTCATTATTTCTAGAATGAGAAACTTCGGTATTATTACTTTCGAATGGTTTCGTTAATTCAACAGAGACTGCCTGATCTGGTTGCCGATCATTTACCTTTCCAAGTACAACGACATTATTCTCTTTGCTTTCGTTAACTCGATTTGTCAGATTCTCAATGCTACTTACGTGTAAATATTCCTTTGGCTTTTTCCGATTACTATCATCGATCTCTTGATGTTCCATTTTTCTTTCCTTTCGATCCTTTTGATGTTCCGTTGATTGTGACCGCAGTAAGATTTTTAACGCAGTTCTCTTGCACTTGTATCTTTTTACATTGGAATGACATTTCATATTTTTACTCGAAAGAGGACGATCGTTTTTCGATAACGTTATTCTAATACAATGTAGAAGCAAATGTTGTTTCAATGATAATCGACTACTGAAGAATTGATAACAAACGCAACATTTGCATACCCACATGTCGTGTTCTCGTAAATAATGTTTCAATAAAAGACGTTTCGAGGCATATCGTGCTCGGCATATGCTTGACATATACGCCGTATGACATTTCTTCATGTGTTTCTTCAAATGTCTCTCTGTGGTCAATAACATATCACAAATTGTACAAGGAAAAGTTTTATCGCTGGCATTGGTCGTTGCATTTTCATTAATTCCCGAAACAATCAATTCCTTTTTTATTTCTGGCAACTTTATCAAAGACACTTTTACTTCCTTCAATTCAACAATAGCATTCGCTGATTGTTTATTTTCAATTTCTTTAAAAGAATACGATTCCTTCTGGGGCGATGAGTTTTTGGGATTCGTAAGATTTCCTTTCTTTAAAGATTCGTTCTTTCTTAGATCAAGATTGACTTTTTTGAGTAACGTTCGACGTCGACCAGAACGCTTCTTGCGTCTCGACCTAAATTTGCTAGAACGCTTCGCATTTAACGTGACAGATGAGCTTGATTTACTATTAGTAATTCGTTTTCTAATTTTTACAGGCGGAGATCTTACGGAAGAATCATTTTTAACAAAATCTTTAGAATTATTACTTCGTGAAAAAGTGTTTTTGGAAGGTGACTCGTTACTATTACTTTTCCGTTGTGAGAATCTACGTTTACGAAATATACGATTAACCGGTTGTAAAATCTGAGAAGACGACGTAGCAAATTTTGAAGAATTCGAAGTCGATCTTGTGGACAATTTATCATCGCATCTTATCAACGAAATGGTACATTTCTTACACATACTTAAAAGTTTTCTTACTTTATTACCGCTTTGATCATTTTTACGTACGATCGTCGATGGCTCACTATTATTTACTTCCATAGAATTATTTAAAGATCGCAATGCGTAACGCTTACCATTAATATTATTACTATTATTAGTATGTTTATTACTATTACGATTACTATTATATAGAAAAGATTTTTCAAGGTAGTCGTCGTCATTAGATAGACAAGAAATTCCTAAAAGAGCTTTCATCATGTTAGAATCGACGTGTATTTTAACAAATGGCTGCTTTTGTAATCTATTATCATTTGACTTTTCACTTGTTCGAGGTACACTGGCAACTATTTTATCCGTCGACGATTTGCCCGCTTCAACATCCATCCATTCATTCTCTTGTTTAATTATAGTTAAAACGTTATTAACGTTCGAATTGTTTAAATTTTCAGATGATTTCTTTGCATCTTCTTTATTATGACGTATAATGTATTCCACCATTGTCTTCTGTCGCATTTTCTTCTTCTTTGGCGTACCAGAATATGAAACAGTTGAATGATTTATTGAAAATGAATCGTCTTCGACATTCACTCTTATCTCCTTTCCATGAAGGTGAAATAAATGACTTTGTAAACTTATTTTCCTTTGAAACATTCGTTTGCAAAAATGACAACAATATTTAGAAAATTTTTGCATGTTTTCATCAATCTTTAACCCAATATGAGAGCAAGAATTTGAGAGGCAATTAGAACAAAAATAATTATTTTGTTTGGCATAAAAATTTTTATGACGTTTTAGCTGATTCAAATTGTCATAAGATAAAGAACATATTTCACAATAAATAGCATTCTTCTTTTCCTTTGTTACTCGTATATCTCTTTCTTGTTTTTTATTGAACCTTTTAATATCATTACTTTTTCTTAATGCCTTCTTCTTTTCATCCTTTTCATCGATTACAAGGATATCTTTTTTTTCCTGAATACACTTTATATTTCCAGTTACCGTATGATCCATCGAAGATGACTTCTTTTGGATTTGATTAGTGATTATATTACAGAGGCTCTCAGTCTGAGTACAAATATTTTCTTTTGGGCTGATATTATTCTCAATTATATTAATCGAGTTAATATCGTCAGATTCTATAATGGTTGGCATACAAGTGTCATATGAATCCACATCATTTCTATCACATGGCTCTTGTTTTATCAAGTTTCCTTCTGTGCTAAACTAAAAAGTGGAATTAAGTTAATTTAAAATTTTCAATTTACTTGGAAATCTAATTATTCCTTGCAATATAAATATTATGTATTCTTTTTTCATATATTAGCAAACAAATTCAATGCTGTTAGAAATAAAGACATCATGTAACTATAAACATAAAATCAACTGTACATTAAGCAATAGTTTGTAAAATATCAATTGAAATGAAAGAATGAATAGTTTTAAGCAACTACTATATAAAAGGATGTTATTAATTCAGAATGGAAATGCATGGGACAATGGCCAAAAGCTTATTTTATGTTTGCACTATGGAAGAATAATAATAGCCAAAAAAGAAAAAGAAGTAGAGTACTCTAAAGCCATAACCAATAAAACTCAACTATATTATTAAATATTACTTACTCTGGTTAAGTCCTTAAAGTCTATATTAGTATTTACAGCATCCAATGATCTTTTGAATTCACGAACTCGAGCCATATTAGGATCTTGAATAAAATTTCACTTTCAAAGATCAATTATTTTATTTGACATTATAGTCTCACTGTATCTTTATCACATAGAAACTTCTAATAAAACACTAAAAAAAAAAAAAAAAGGAAAAATAAAAATGAAAACGAAAATATTTATCGACATATATTCTACTACAAATTACACATTAATAACGTTCTCTTTGGAATATTTTTAATTACCAAAGAAAAAGGAAAATATATGTATATATTATATATGTATATATATCAATTGTACAAATATTTCAAAGAAAGAAACGTACAACTTATGCGTTTGAACAACATATTGAATCTGGTATTTCGATGAGAAATCGTACACAAAATATTTTTTTATATATTACCATATAATAATTTCTCAGCCAGAATTCTACACACACGCGCGAACATACGTACACACAAATGTCTGTGCGTGTGCGTGTGCGTGTGTGTATATATATGTATTAAATAAAATAATTATACAAATGAAAGCATACCTTGTATCTAAAATTTTATTATTTGACTGGAAATCAAGAAGGAATCAGTTATATTAATTACCATCATGCAATGTTGCCACTACCATCGAAAGAAATCGCAACGCCCTCATGTCGGTAACTATTGTAACTTGGCTGTCGAGTATAACGCTTTATTTATAAAAAAAAAAACCTAAATAATAATGCTGAATATATTATCGTAACAAAATTGATTCATTGTCCTTAGAGGACAAATAAGACAAGGAAAAATTATTGTTATATGTTTATCCTTACTACGCGTATGCTCGAGTATATCCTAAAGTTTCTAGGTTATAAATAATAACATACAAAGATTCTTCATTCGTAAAGAAAATGTCGTAGGATAACAACGTGGTACAACCAAATATAAAGAGTGCTAATATAACGAAAGTAATAGTACATTAAGGAAACCATAGAAAAGAGTGCTGGTAAGATTAACCATGTTCTTATTGGTCCAAAATTTCTTTACCATTTAAGTTTAAGTCCAGATATTATACACATATCATATACACACATATTTTTTATATTTATATCATATTTTAATAATTATATATATATATATATGTATGTATATATATTCATGGACAAAATCTACGAATATCCATGGACCAAATAGGTCTATGATCTTCAAATAATCTCTATATCAATAATTCACGTTTTCTACGCTCATATTACCTTTGAAAAAATCAATACTAAGTTTAGTCGAACATATTCGTTAATCTTCAAGCGATAGAATATAATTCATCGTGAATAAATGAATAGGAATAAAAAAGACCAATTATTACTTTGAATTATTAACGAAGAAGTATTTTTGACGTTGTTTGAATTTTTCAATGAAATAAAAATATAATTGGTTAGCCACGAAGCAAAGTTGATAGTAGCTTAAAACAGAGTCGAAGCTTCAACAACAGCGATAACAGTGTTCTGCATCCTGCAATAGCGCATCCACTCTCATTGAGTGACGTTGAAACTTCCGCTGAGCGCTGTCTAAGTTCCCTAAGTAATTAAAACCACTTAACACGATTTCACCTAACTTTCTGATATCGCAACGAGGAATCAGTTTTAAATTGTTTCCAAGGGGAACTCCTGTGGTTGCGAAAACATTATAGTGCCTGGCAACACTGATTTGCAAAATCAAAATGTTATCTTATATTCTGAATACATATATTTAAGATATTTCCTTTGTTAATGTTATTAACTATTACAAGAATATGTTCTTGATAATTATACGATGTTCATTGCAAAAATTCTAGATACTGTTATCAACAGTAATTTGAAATTTTATGTTATAATAATTTAATTAAATTGTATTAATTTAATTATAGTTTAGAAAATGTTTCAATTCGTTATTGTTTATATTGGTTTTTGAATTATTTTAAAATGGGAAATATAAATTCCTAGGATCCAATCGCGTTAGTAATTTGAATGAATGGTCTATATTATATTAAAATTATTACCGCGTTAAACGTCGAAATGATTATTGTCCATACGATTAATAATCTTATCAGCAATATTCTTTTTATGATTTCTAAAAGTTTCCAAACAATTCAATCGGAATAGTACTAACAGCTGATAAGTAATAATCTGGTCGACAATGTAGCTTTCTCTTATAACATCTTAAGATATTTTTAAATCCATAAAAATTATTTAAGCAATTTGATATATAATATAAAATAATACATGCGAATCTGTGAAACTATTAATGTACTTGACAATTGTTAATATTATTACTAACAATAAATTAATGTATACACTGTTTATGACTTTTGTCGTATCGTTATTAAATGTTTCATATATATTTTTCATTATGCACAAGAAATAGAATAAATATAAATTTATTATACGTATGTAAATGTATGGAAAGAGAGAAAAAAAATTATATAATCATTTAATCGAAATTATTTACTAGTGAACAGGCCAAGAAAGGAAATATAAGAGGATAAGATTGGCGGAGTTAGCAAATTTAAAGACGTTACTACGTGAAAGTGCTTTATTCCTTTCAGAGATCGTTCATCGCAGACATCGGCGTCGGGAATGCCGCTCTCAAATTTTTTTTTCTTTTTTTTCTTTTTTTTTTTTTCTTTTTATACTTATATACTCTAATAAGCGACCCTAATTATCGAGTAAAGTATCGTCTGATATTAAAAAATACGCATGTATATGTACATATACAATTACAACACGCGCCAGGACGGCAGGAATCCTGGTCCAGCGAGACCTTAATAATGATTTTAAAACGAAGGTTGAATGTACAGTATACACATTTACACTTATCATTTCAGCAATAACAATTTTATTGTACGTAGATTGCAAAAATTAAATAAAAAAATGACAATGATACATCGCGTATTGGACGGAAGAGCCCAAAACACTGCGCAGAGGTGTGAGAGAAAATAATAATTTTAAATTCGATCGATCGAGGTGCGATTGCTTTTCATCAAATTTTATCTGATATTCGTTTCTGTCTTTTCTTTCAACCCCCCCCCCCGTCCGCAAACGTTATCTCATTCCTTTTCCATGTGTTTTTTTTTTTTTTGCTATGACCTTCCTTTCCTTCTCCCGCGGGTAAAAGCGATTCTCCCTTTTTACAAAAAAACACAAACGGAGAGAGTAAGTCTCTCGTATTATAAGAGCTCACCGAAGAGGGTTGGAAACAGATTCTCGGTTTGATTAAAAACAATTCGATTTAAAGCATGCCCAGTAATACTAGACAAACAGTATATCGTTATCTTTTTTTTAATTTTTTTCATATAAGATGCTCCTACGTAGTATTCATGGTTTGGTTTTATTTTTTTTTTTTGGTAATTTTTTTTTTTTTTAGGTTTTTCATTTTTAATCTTGTCCCTTTATATTACAGTAATTAACATCGTCACATACAGACTTATTCGCTAACGATATGACTACAGCTCCAAACCAGCAGAGCATTTCATTGATGAAGTGAGATATAATAGTTTTACGTGTCTTTTTCTTTAATACATTCTTCTTTTATCGGAGGGAAGGCAGTTTCCGTAGTCTTCCCAATCGTTTTGTCTTTCTCTCTCTTTTTTTATCTCTCTCTCTCTTTCTCTCTCTCCCTCTCTCTATCTATCTCTCTCTTGCTCTTTCCTTCTCTATCCCTATCTTTTGCTTCTTTTGTTTTTCTTTTATTCTTCCTTTTTCTTTTCTTTTTTTTTTTTCACTTCTTACTCTCCCTCCGCGATGATATGCCAATTTATATACATTTAAATGTTTTTTTTTTTTGAAATTATTCACATCTAATAATAAGTATCGAATAAAATATCCTTCCGTTTTTACCTCTCCCTCACCTTATCACCCAAACTTTTCGCAGTCTTTACGTATTACACCCGTTTTCTCTGTATACAGTATATTTTATAAATCACCTGCCACCAGCGTCTGTTGAAATTTCCTTTCACATTTCTCTTTCACAAGCGTTCGCAAAATTAAAGAAGGAAAAAGGAGAAAAAGAAAGAAGGGAGAAAAAACAAGACAAGACAGACAGACAGACAGACAGACAAACAAACAAACAAACAAACAGAAAAGGAAAAATAATATTTTTTGACTCTTGACTCTCATATATGTATGTTAATATTTATGAATTATTGTAATTCAGTGAAATGCTTTTGGAATTATTTCCATTAATGTTTTTCTTAACGCGTTAGAAAATATTTACGCGAATTATTGGAGACAAGCTTTCGATGAATACAATTTTACAAGTTCTTACCATTTTTTTCGTCTCGACAAGTGCGAAAGCAGAGTTTAGTAACAAAATATATGTATATATGTGTAGGTTATATTTCCCACAAAGACCATTTTAACAGTTTTCCCCATTTTTCCTCGTCCGATCATTGTCACCCTCCCTCCGTCACACTTCGCTTTTCTCGGCATCATTTTTTCCTTTATATTGAGGCGCGGATTGCCGATTCGATTGTACGAAGGCATCATGTAGGGAACTATCGAAATGTATTTTTACCTATATATTTATGTATATATACATATCTATACATATATATGTATATATATATGTATACATATATATATATATATATATATTTGTTTTACTCGTTTTCATATACATATATATATATACACACATATATATATGTATATGTATTTATCTTTATTTATATTTATATTTATATTTATTTTTATATTTATATTTATACTTATATGTATCAATGATTTTTAATGAACGATTTGACCAACCGATCGATTGAAACGTTTAAATATCTGCTGACATGGGTGGAGAGCGCTCACTTTTTTTTAAAGACTATCAATATGCGGGGATTCCGGCACAAACAAGGAATGTCATAGTACATTATATCAACATTTAATAAAATATCTGAAACATTAACAAATAGACTATATGAGTACTATATGCCTGCCCTTACAATGTATTTTAGCTAATCGATAAGTAGTAATCTCTTTCTAACCAATGGATTTTTAATCGATAAGTAGGTAGGAAATTCTCTTACATCATCCAACTTTGATCCTTTACCTCGAATCCTGTGACACTAAATTTTCCTTACAATTTCTTCTATATTTCTTTTTTTTTTGTTCTTTTCTATTTTTCTCTTTTACCTTTCAATCCTCCTTCCTTTTTACTATTTTGTTATTTCTTGTTTATTATTTTTCGTTTGCTTCTTCGTTTAGCTCGAGAAAAAATCAAAACAATTCTAAATGACACGTGCTTCTTACGCACAAGGTTACAGCCTAACAGCTGTTTTGTGCTTTTATGTATCTGTGTATCTGTGTCTCGTAATATTTAAGATAATATTACGGTTAGTTAAATATCTCTTGATTTTACTAGCTCTGTTTTCATCCTTTCCCTTTCTCTCTCTCTCTCTCTTGATATTTCCATTCTTTTTCTCACATTTCCTATCCTCAATTAATAAGCGTTTAACTCTTTCTTAATTGGTACGTTATTATTATCCTGAAATACTTTTTATCCTTTCGTCTTTGGACACTTTTCTAAGACCTTTTCATACCACATTTTTTTTATTCTTCGTTTTCCAACATACAACTTCTCTAAATCCACTTATCTTTTCTTTTCCCTTTATTTTCTTTTCTTTTTTTCTTTGTTTCATTATCTCTTCGCATATTTCGAGGTTTTAGTTTCAAAGTTTAGTTTCTTCTTTTTTTTTTTTTTTTTTTTTATTTTTACTCTGAATTGAAACTGGATTCCAATTTGGCTATGTTAAGTTTTCGCCTCCTTCTTTTTCTTTCTTTTTTTTTTATCTTTATTTCTTTATTATTTCTTTAATACGATTACGATGACACTAATCTATATACGTGATCTCGTGCCCGAAAGTTATTCTCGAGTTAACAAATAAAACAAAGAGCAACCGAACTTGAAAGCCGTCGAGTTAAAGAGAAGAGATTTTTTTGAAAAGGATTTCATTAGAAATATATTTGATTTTATTTTCCCTTTTTCTATTATCTGTCTGTCTATTTTTATATAGTATATTTTTTCAATATTTCCTACGAACGAATTTTCGGAGATGCATGATTTTCGTTTGATATTCGTCAAATATACTTTGTGATTTAATCGAAAAGATCGGCTTCCCCGTTCGTTCACTCTAAAAAAAAAAAAAAAAAAAAAAAAAAAAACAACAACAAAAAAAATAAAAATAAAAATAAAGAGAAAAAATATTTTTCAAAACCAATTAATATTTTTGCAGCAAACCAAGAAATTTCAATTTTATCCACATTTCGTCAACAAGATCTCGTATTTTAATTCTTTCGACGAATTTTATTTAAAGATACGTCCGGAATACACGCTACTTCGTAAACATTTCTCCGTCATTATTTTGTTAAATTACATTTTTTTGCAATTTATTTACTTTTCCGTACATATATATATATGTGTATATATATATATATATATATATATATATATATATATATATATATATATATGACAACGTAAATAGCCTAGGTCATCGTACAAGTAAGTTAATCGATATTATTCGTTGCCCTGAGTGCCTTGGTAACCGGCTTACGAACGGAATTTTCGATTCATTGCTTTTCTCTCTTCCTCTCTCTCTCTCTCTCTATTTTCTATTTATTTATTTATTTATTTATTAACTCCTTTTTGCTTAATTCTTCCTTACCCCTTTCAATTCCCCCTTTTTTCTCATTTCATTCGATATTCATTACAGATTTCAATGCGTTCTTATTACAATCTTGTAATCCCGTTTCTATCATATTTTCAAGCGTTACAATTTCAACAAATCTAACAAAAAGATGAAGCATTCCGATGAATCATTTGTCAAGTAAATCTTGCGCGTTTTATCATTTTAATTACAGAGTTTGTCGAGGATTTAAACTCAAGCATCTTTTAGTCTCTCTCTCTCTCTCTCTCTCTCTCTTTTTTCTCTTATTACTCTTTCTTTTTTTCTTTCTTTCTTTCTTTCTTTTTTTTCTTCTTTTTTATCTTTTTTTCTTTGTTTTAAACTGTCAGCAGGAAAGACTGTGAACGAGTAAATTGAAAAAAGTTGAGTCTCTATGCGCGAGCAACTACAAAATGTATGTAATGTATGTGTTGTATTTATGTATTTATGTATATGTATGTAAATGTATATATATATATATATATATATATATATATATATATATATCGAGGTGGACGGTTAAACAGCCACAGGGAAAGTAAGTTAGAATCATTTCGGTACGATTCATCTCGAAAGAGCGAAATGTATGTACGTGTATATACGTACATGAAATAAAAGTGACATTATAAAACGGTCGAATGGAAAATGGCAGTGTGACGACGGTTCGTTACAATGCGACGGTGCATAAAATATGTGTTTATATATGTTAGTGTTAATGCATCTGTTCTGTGTATCAATATAATTATAATGCATATGTAAAAAATCGAAACTTAGAAAAACTTCATTTCGGAAACATCGATATAAAATAACGCGAGATAAAATCGAGAATCGTAATGAGATCGATATTCGAGGTAATTTCGTATCTCTTATCTCTTTTTTTTTTTTTCGTTTTATTTTTTTTCTCTTGTTCTTTTTTTTTCCTTTCTTTCATTCTTCCTTTCTTTCGTGTATGCCTCTCTGTGTGTACGTATCTTAATATTTTTTTATCCTTGCTCCTCCTGTCTTTTTTTTTTTTCTTCTTCTTCTTCTTCTTTTAATTAATTAATACGAGAAAAGGAAAAAAAGAAGAAAGAGAAAAATGAATTCTGCGAGAAGCGGCCACGCTAGTACAAAACGGCGGGTAATAATATATAAACATCTTTTAAACGCGTACATTATTCACAAATATTCTTCATCGTTAAGTATTTTATTTTATACAAATGTATGCAAAGTTCTTATCTTTTTTTCTTTTTTTTTCTTTTTTTTTTTTTTTCTTTTTTTGGTTATCTTTAGTTTTATATAAATATATATATATATATATATATATATATATATATATATATATATATGTATATGTATATATTTTTTTTCGGTTTAATTTTCTTTTTCTTTAACTTCTCTCTTTTTTCTTTCGATAAAATGAGGAAATCGATAATTCGTCCTTTTGCATTCATAATAAAACATTTCCATATACCGTCATGATTATTAATCGGCATATCGCGAAATTTGTGCTGCGCATTAATAGCCAAGAAAGCTTGTTAGATTCGACCCACGAATAAAGTTTTCTTAGTCTGATTCTTGAAAGGGTCTCGTTTTGTGTGTTATACCACCATTACGGTTTGTATTATTTTTTCAATCCTTCGTCGCATGCTGATACCGACAAATGATTGCACCGATATATATCTGTGTGTTTGTGTGTATATGTGTATATGTGTATTTATTTTTTTTATTTTTTTTTTTCTATTATTCATTTTTTAATCGCGTCTATTTGCTTGTTCGCTCGCTCGCTTGCTTGTTTGCTTGCTTGTTTGCCTGTTTGCTTGCTGCCAATGCAATGACAGAAATGCGTCGGCTTATAAAACTTGAAAAGCGAATGTAATGTTCCTTGAGTTTTCTTTTTTTTTTTTTTTATTTATTTATTTATTTATTTTTTTCTTTTTTTTTTTCGTTATAAAATGCTCGCACTCGTCCAACAGAGAGTAAAGAAATTTCGTTTTACTTGCCTCGTACAGCACGCAAATACGCGTGCAAGTTAAATGCATTTATGTGTACATAATAGCACACACATTTGATCTCGTTAAAATTGTTTTTATTCTGAACACTTTTTGTCTTATTTTTTCTTTTTTCTTTCTAATCACTTTTCCAATAGATGCGAATATTTTCTTTTCTTCTTCTTTTTTATTTGCCATTCTCTCTCTCTCTCTCTCTCTCGATTTCTCAGTAATATATTTTCTTTTCTTTCTTGCATATGAACAAAGCCTGTGTATGTGCATGTGTATAAATAAAGTTCTTCCCTTGCACACGTTTTTACGTTGATAAGCGTATTCGTGCATTTGAATAATTTCTTTCTCTTTATTTTATCTTATCTTATCTTATCTTATCCTTTCTTTCTTTCCTGCTTGTTTATCTTCTTCTGTTCTTCCGGTATCATCATGTTCCACTGACTAAGGCTGTGGGCGCGTTTTCTTCCCTTTTTAATGCTTAAAACGTAAGGAGATTTGAATGTGGGCCAGGTGGCTCTTAGCGTAACCCGGGGCAACTCGGCAGGATGTTTGTCTGAGCTAGTACCGTTAAAAGTTATAGTATCTTTTTTTTTTTTGTATTTATACAATTTCTTTAAATATATCCTGTAGTAATTTATCCTTCCCCTCTATCGTCCTTCTCTTCGTATTTTTTTTTTTAATTCTTTTTTTTGTTAAAATGCGTACAAACGGAGATGCGGAATCATAATATGTTAAAGTACCGAGGGAGACATGGCGTCCTTGAATTATCGATTATTATTATTCATTATTCATTATTCATTATTATTATTATTATTATTATTATTATTATTATTATTATTATTATTATTCATTATTATTATTATTATTATTATTATTATTATTATTATTATTATTATTATTATTATTCATTATTTATTATTATTCATTATTCATTATTTATTATTATTATTATTATTATTATTATTATTATTATTATTATTATTATTATTATTATTATTATTATTCATTATTATTTCATTATTATTATTTTTATTTATTATTATTCATTATCTATTATTTATCATTTATTATTAGTGTTATTAATTTACTATTTATTTTTTATATTATTATTATTATTATTATTATTATTATTATTATTATTATTATTATTATTATTAGTATTAGTATTATTAGTATTATTATTTTAACCGTCCGTTCGCTTTCCCTCTGTGAGCCTTCACTATCGCGCGTGTGAACGTCGACACTTCCGCGCCTAGTCCCTTTTCTCTCTCTTTCTCTCTCTCTTTCTATCTCTTCTCCATCTCTCTATCTTTCGCTCGATATTTCTTCTATTTCTTTCCCATCGTTCGCTCTTACATTTACGAAGCTATTTAATTTTTTTTTTATCGTCTCGGAAAAATGTCGAGAGTTACTCTCATCCTTGTTTTCTCGCAAAAGCCAATGATTACGACGTCGTCCTCATTAAATTATTTTTAGTTGAAGCTTCACACAGCCAAAAAATGAAAAGCACTTAAAACAGTGCTCAACACTATATAAATGATTTCTTGATTAATTGTTTAATTAATCAGTTAATTAATTAATAAAACAGATTCTGACCGACTAAAGTGGCAGGGATGGCCGCCACCGCGTGCAGCCGTCGTTACAAATTTCTTTAGCCTACTAAAGTAGCTTATTCAAAAGTCATTCGTGTGTTGTGTGTGTGTGTATAATATAATAACTTTAGTACTTTCTACTATCATAATGAATCTTCACTTTTTTTTTTTTTTCCCTTTATACTTATAGTTTGTGAGCGGCATTTTTTATCTTTTTCTTTGTTTCACCTATTATAATCATTCTGCGTTTTTCGCACGTCGTTAGAATTACATTTAAATAGTTAAATATATACATGATATATGTGTATGCGCTCACGCTCTGACATGTCTATCGTACACACATCAAACACACGTATTCACTCAAACGTACACACAACCGTACACACACACACATATACGCGCGTACGTATATATTTATATATATATTATATATATATATATATATATATATATATGCATTTACATGTAGTACTTCTTATTTCTGTATGGCTCAAAATTATTGAAAACTTCAATAATAACAAATGTTAATTTTTAATTATTACATTAATGTAGTGTTTAATATCGTTCATAATACCTAAATATATCACTTTAAAGCGGTCGGCTCGATCTACGAGCGTTCGCACTCGTTTCTCTCTCTCTCTTTTTTTTTCTTTTTGTTTGCCTCTCTTTCATTCATCTCTCGTTCTCTCTTTCTCTCTCTCTCTCTCTCTCTCCCCCGCAATCTTTCTCAATCTCTTTCTTGCTTCCTTTCATTCATTTTCTTTCTCTCTCTTTCTCTGTCGCTCTCTCTCTCTCTCTCTCTCTCTCGTTCTCTCTCACACACACACTCAAACTCTTCTTTCACCCACGTTCTCTCTCTCTCTCTCTCTCTCTCTTTCTCTCTCTCTCTTACCTAAATATTACGCTTCGACAATCACATACCGCGAGGCATACGCTCGAGCATCCCCTGCTGTTAATCGGAACATCCCTTCGAGGAATTTACTTCTCGACCTTACAATCTTTTGACAAAAGGACTCGAATTTTGTCAAGGGAAAAGACGTGGAATAATTCGCAGCGAATTTCGATATTGAATCTTTGCTTTTGTTTTTTCATTTCTTTTCTATATTTTTATTTTTATTTTTATTTTTCTTTTTTTTTAATTTTTTATCTTTTATCTATTTTCCTCTATTTTCCGTTACACTTCTCTTTTATTTTCCACTCC